GGTCGTGACGCACCTGAGTTATTGAAAGTACGAGAGTCAATAAATGGGCCTATAGGAGCAGCATGGGCACAGCGTCTTGATTTAGGATGGACAGTGAGTGGAGTTCTGTGCTTAGATCGCCAAGGAGGAAACGTCCACATCATAGCTAGAAGAACGTCTGTTGGATTTGAAACCAAGTATGAGCCTTGTGAGAATTCCTTCATATGTAAACAATCGCCAAAAGACGACTACCTGAGTTTGAGTTTTAATGAGTTTTATACATCACCGAGAGATAACGAGATTGGTTTGAGTCATGAGGATCGACAATTCCTGTCTCTTATGGACAAGAGCTTCCATAAGAACCAGTTGGGGAATTGGGAAGCACCTCTTCCTTTTCGGAATTCTGATGTTTATATGCCCAACAACCGTATTCAAGCTGAAAAAAGGTTCCAGAGTCTATTGAGAAATTTCAACCGAAATCCACAACTTGAGACCGATTATTTCGAGTTTATGACAAAGCTGTTTAAAAAAAGCCACGCCTCACCTTCTACGAACACTGTTGGAGTATACCATCCACAGAAGAAGAACCAAATCCGAGTAGTTTTTGATTCATCCGCTGAGTACAAGAGCACTTCCCTCAACTCTGAGTTATTAACTGGTCCTGATCTTATGAACAGATTAATTGGAAGGCTGCATAGATTTCGACAAGAGGAGGTCGCATTTACTTGCGACGTCGAGCAAATGTTTCACTCATTTTACGTGAACCCGGAACATAGAAGTTACCTATCCTTTCTATGGTTTGAGAACAACGACCGTAAAAAGCCGGTGATCGAGTACCAAATGAACGTTCACTTGTTTGGTAATGGACCAAGTCCAGCGATCGCAACGTACGGTCTACGAAGAGCGGCTGATGATGTCAAGGATAAATACGAGTTAGCAGCAAACAAGTTTATCCACGAGGAGTTTTATGTGGACGATGGTGTGTATTCTTGTTCAACACCACAAGAAGCCATTGAGTTGATTAAGACTTCACAAGCCGTATTGAACGAGTCAAACATTAAGCTTCACAAGGTAGCCTCCAACAGCCCCATGGTTATGGATGCCCTACCAGAAGAAGATCGAGCAAAGGGACTGAAGAACCTAGATTTTTCGTCTGATATATTACCAGTCCAGAGGTCATTAGGAGTTCAGTGGGACCTAGAGCGAGACGAGTTAACGTTCCAAGTGATCGACAAACAAAATCCCTACACGAGAAGATGAGTCCTATCAATAATCCACTCTATATATGATCCGCTAGGATTCCTCGCACCATACACAATAGTTGGTAAGAGAATACTTCAGAGCCTGATTGAGTTGGGTAACGAACACAGAGGAAATCTTGCATGGGACGATCCACTACCTAACGAATTCCAGTCGGAATGGGGCATATGGAACAGAGACCTGTCATCTATTGGAGAAGTACGAGTACAGAGATGTCTTAAACCAGCCAGCTTTGGTAAAGTCGAACGAGTCGAGATTCATGGTTATTGCGACGCAAGCCAAGATCAGATCGGAGCAGTCGTATATCTTCGAGTGATCAATTCAGAGAAGAGCATTTGGGTATCCTTTCTTAAAGGATGTGCCAAAGTTAAACCACTCAAACAGGTTACGATACCAAGAATGGAGCTGTCCGCAGCCGTACTACTTGTCAACACAGTGAGAGACATTAAACGAGATCTTGAGTATACAATCGATGAGGAGATCTACTATTCAGACTCCAAGGTAGTATTGGGATACATCACCAACCAAACCAAGAGGTTCTATATCTACGTAGCAAACAGAGTTCAAATCATTAGAAGTTTAACAGCCACAAACCAATGGAGATACATTGAGACCAAGTTGAATCCAGCCGATCTAGTGAGCAGAGGTTGTGGAATCCATAAACTTCTTAAGAGCGATTGGTTAAGAGGACCAGAGCATTTATGGGAATCTTTGAAAACACCAAGCTTTGAGGACTACACCAGTTCTTTGAGCGAAGAAGACGCTGAGATTAGATCCTGTAGAACAACCCTTGTAGAAAAGACCTGTTCATTCTGTACGCTAATCAGTTCGTACAACAGCTGGGAGAAGCTTCTGAGAGCAGTTTGTTGTCTTAAACTGTTCACTAGATATATGAACAATGAGAAGCCCGTGGTAGAGATCAATCCTTCTTTAATACAAGAAGCCGAGACCGCAGTCGTCAGACATATTCAACAAGAGACCTTTCCTGATGAGCTTAAGATCCTGAAACATCCTGAGAAGTCCATGAAGAAAACCGAGCTGAAAACCCTTCAACTTAGAAGTTTAGACCCCTTTATCGACAACCATGGTACTTTGAGAATTGGAGGACGTCTGAGTAGAGCAAACTATTCCAATCAAGAGAAACATCCTTGGATTATACCCAAGAAGAGTCTGATAACGCCCTTATTAATCCAGCATTACCACGACGTGAACCACCACCAAGGCCGGTCCATCACACATGGAGCAGTGAGGCAAGCTGGATTCTGGATTATCAGTGGAGCAGAGAGAGTCAATCATCAAATTAGAAACTGCATTCGCTGTAACTTCTTACGAAGACCCTTAGAGTCACCCAAGATGTCCGATCTACCAGAGCAAAGATTCGAGAACATGCCTCCTTTCACCAACGTTGGTATGGATGCATTCGGTCCTTGGGAAGTCATGACCAGAAAAACCCGTGGAGGATCAGCAAATAGCAAGAGATGGGGCATTATGTTCACTTGCCTTGTGAGTCGAGCCATACATATAGAGATTGTAGATGCTATGGACACATCAGCATTCATCAACGCCCTTCGCCGATTTATAGCAATCCGGGGACCTGTAGCACTTTTATGGTCAGATTGCGGAACCAACTTCGTCGGAGCCAGAACTGAGTTACGAGAAGCCTTAAGTGAGATTAAAGACGAATCTGTGAAGAAATTCCTGACTTCAAAGGAATGTGAGTGGAGATTTAACCCACCCCACGCCTCACACTTTGGTGGCGTGTGGGAACGCCAAATTGGTACGCTGAGAAGGGTATTAGAAGGCATGCTTCTTGGTATTGGTAAGCAGCAGCTAACCCACGACCTTTTGGTAACGCTGATTGCAGAAGCAGCAGCCATTGTAAACGCACGACCAATAACAGCCATATCAACAGATCCTGAGAATCCTGAGATTTTAGCTCCCGGCAACCTACTTACTCTTAAAACGAGACCCTATCTACCAGCACCAGGAGAATTTACCAAACCAGACCTATACTGTCGTACGCAATGGAGAAGAGTTCAGTACCTGGTGGACCAATTTTGGATCCGTTGGAGACGAGAGTATATACAGAGTCTTCAACCACGAAGAAAATGTCAGAATACCACGAGCAATATACAAGTTAACGACATAGTTTTAGTCAAAGATAAAGATGTCGTACGAGGTGAATGGAGCAAGGGAAGAGTTACTGGTGTCAAGCTGGATCCAGATGGAGTAGCAAGAGTAGCTGAGGTCACCATTTATCGAGATGAGAATCCCTTCCAACCGCGTTTAAATGGACAATACAAAACCTATAAGAGACCCATTTGTGAACTTGTATTTTTGTGCCGAATCGATAACGATAAACCTTTAGGAGAAATGTGAACAATGGTAAAAGACTTCATCTTTTAAGTGGGGAGTGTGCTGTTCATTGAGACTATAGTATATTCGTGCGTTCATGTTTATTTTTGTCGTGTACGGTAATTCTGGTCACTGAGCGAGCCGATCATTTTTGGAGTGTAGTTAATCGAGTCTATTTTACTTCGCGTCTGCGCATTATCACCGAAAATAAAATAAAATATAAACACGAGGAGCTGAGCGAAGTGACCAGGGTTTTCGTCGCATAATCTTTTTACCGCTACTTACTTGAAGAAAATAATAATATGGTTTAGCACCTAATACTGTGTTGTGTTTTTTCATCATTAGAAAGGTGCGCGTAAGCTATCTGGGCAGCTGACGGAACGGCCATTTGAGTTGAGACTGAGCATAAAGTACGTTTAAGAACACGTGCGCGGTCGTCTCTGTCAGCGAGACAGAACAATACTTGTTTATTACTTAATAAATCAGGAACATATTACTTTAAAGATACAATAACAACCAGATAAATTCACGTCCAAAATAGATATCATGTCATCGATTAATGTGAATAACATTTTTCTCCTCTAATATTAAATAACTTTAGTTATACTGTGTACCTACAGCCGTGTATCAAACTGTCTATTATCACTGTACACATTACACCTGGTTGACATCACACCTGTTAATTGTATAGGACAGTTTGCCATTTTAATAACGGTCGTTATAAGGTCTGCTGTTCAGCTCCGAATGAGTTAATTAAGACGGACTTACGCCATACAGTGTGCAGTGAGGGGGATTTTATTCGGACAGCGGCGTTACAGTCTACTCTTATATTGAATTCCAACTGTCAAGGGATCTTTTACGTACACACAAATCTGTACACAGATCCTATTTCGTTTCGTTTTTATAGTTCAAAATTTCGTTTTACTTGTCTTTACTATACTTGGATCTGGAAGAGTTGTTATTTAACTCGTGTTCTGGGTGGTGTCAGGGATAAGCCAATGAAACGGTCTGTTAGGCGTGTTTTTCACGGAACTGTTGGTAATCCACTAGTAACACCAATGCTGATTGGTTAATCAAATGTCCGACGTCATAGGGTCATAAGTTGTTCTTTTGACCCCTGACGTGACCTATCGCTATAACTTGTCAGATCTTCATGTAGTGTAGGCCATCGAAAGTATAAAAAACGAAACGAAATAGAGATCTGTATTTTAATCTGATTATACCCAGCTTGCTTGTCCAAATACTATCTAGTCTTAACAGTTCACAACTGGCATTTACACCGACACAGCAGATACTAAAAATAGCACAAATATGTTCATATTGGACTGAAATTTTCTATCCAACAACTTGAAAATCTTCCAACCTTTTCACACAGTAATAACATAGTTCTTATTTATACGTTTCAGATATCACAGTTGAAGAAATCAAGAGAAATATCACTTTCAACTCAGTTGCAGTCACAAGGGGCGTATAACTCTGTAAGTATTGATTATTGATTATTCTAGCTTGACTATTGATTTATACAATCATTGATTTATTTACTATTATCCTGTTCTGTTCTGTGCTTTATACCTTGAGCTCACCAGATACAATACAGTATAATATACAAAACATACATACATGCAAATGTGAAATTATTTACAATATAAATTTATATACATTTGAATTAATTCTATAATATGGTTTAATATACTCAGCCAAATTAAAAACTTGACACTGATGAATTTCAACAAATTTTTTTTTCTGGTAAGTCAAATAAATTTTAAAGTGTTTCTAACGATAGTAAGTAGTAAGAAGCCTTTAATTTCATAAAATTGTAAAGTCACGTGGATCACGTGACTTTTGAGCATATAAAGATGAAAAACCTGAAAAACATGTGCAAACACAAGCTCGTGAGGTCAATCGATGCAAGTTTGCTTAAACGGAACACGCACACGTAACTTGAACTGGAAAAACAAATTAAAATTGTTATTTTCATCTTTGTTAGAAAATGCCGCGCCTTTCAAATGTAGAACGTCTACGTGCTATAGGTAGGCTCTATGCTGGTCAGTCTGTGGTCACTGTTGCAAGAGCCTTTAATTGTTCACGCCAGATAATAATTAATCTTAGAATGAGAGTGCTTCAAACTGGAACTATTGCCGACCGCCCAAGGGCCGGAGCGGCACGTGTGACGTCACTCCAAGAAGATCTAGCAATACGATTACGTCATCTTATAAACAGATTTGTTACTGCAACCCCCACAAGTAGAGAGATGTTTGGTGGAAGGGTAACTGCAAAAACTGTTCGAAATCGCTGGTAGACTGCTGGTCTTCGAGCTCGGAGGCCCTATAATGGACCAATATTGACACCTCTTCATCGCCGTAACCGACTTGTGTGGGCCACAAGACACATAAGATTTACTCAAAGACAGTGGAATTCGGTTGTCTTTAGTGACGAATCTCGATTCACTTTGAGATTTGCCGATGGCAGGGTCCGAGTGTACCGCAGACGAGGTGAACGTTACGCTCAAGTATGCCTCAGAGAAGTTGACCGATTTGATGGCGGCAGAGTCATGGTTTGGGGTTCTTTTTGTGCACATGGACGTTCTCCTCTTGTTGTTGTCCAAGGGAACTTAAATGCTGTTCAGTACAGGGATCAAATTTTGCAACCTGTTCTTCTTCCGTTTATGCATGGGCCTGGACTAACGTTTCAACAAGACAATGCTCGACCCCATACAGCAATTGCTACCTTAGCCCCGACCTTAATCCTATTGAACACATCTGGGACGAACTGGGTCGACGTGTTCGTCAGCAAGTGAATCCACCACTGACGTTGCAGGACCTTCAACATGCTCTTGCTGAGCAGCGGCGACGTCTTCCTCGGGTAGTGTTTACTAATGTTCTGAGATCCATGAGAAGACGTTGTGTTGCAGTACGAGACGCTAGAGGAGGCCACAGCCGTTACTAAACACTTTATTCCGATTGTTCTCCAAGTCTGTGAATTTCATTTTGGGGGGTACTGTGACATCACGAACGTTATCAATGTCAAGGACTTTCGGCTAGACGTATTCTTGCTTTCTGTTGATGTCAAGGTCGTCTGTGCACAGCATAACACTAAAATAGTTGCCTTAAACCAAATATTAAAAATCTAGTCCCAAAAATCCCGAGTTTTAAGTTTTTAATTTGGCTGAGTATATATTTACAACGAATATCTCTCTATTTTTATATCTTGTAATTACATTAAACCTAAACCTTTTTTAATATATTTCAGAATAGGCGAAATAGCTGCTCACCAAAGTGATCATACATCAGATGTACTTGCAACATTGTCACCCCTGGAAATGAATGAAACTATAATTAAAGATGCTAGGAGTGGAAATTATAAACGTATTATACATCTGATAGACGAATGTGCTGATTTACCGTTACAGTATATAGATGATGAACATAACAATCTATTAAATATAGTTTTATATAGTTACCGATCACACACCTATCAAGATGACAGGGACGAGTTGTTACAATGTGTAATTAAATTAGTTGAAGCTGGTGTAGATGTGAACCATCTGAATAAAGATAAACAAACACCTGTATCTATAGCTGCTAGGAAAGGATTGTCTAAAATTGTTATTTATCTGATAGATCATGGTGTTGATATAGAGTATATAGATGATGAACATAACAATCTATTACACTTAGTTTTAGATAGTTACCGATCATACCACCCTGGAACTAAAGACGAGTTGTTACAGTATGTAATTAAATTAGTTGAAGCTGGTGTAGATGTGAACCATCTGAATAAAGATAAACAAACACCTGTATCTATAGCTGCTAGGAAAGAATTGTCTAAAATTGTTATTTATCTGATATTTCATGGTGTTGATATAGAGTATATAGATGATGAACATAACAATCTATTACACTTAGTTTTAGATAGTTACCGATCATACCACCCTGGAACTAAAGACGAGTTGTTACAGTATGTAATTCAATTAGTTGAAGCTGGTGTAGATGTCAACCATCTGAATCAAGACCAACAAACACCTATATCTGTAGCTGCTAGGAAAGGATTGTATAACATTGTTTTATATCTGATAGATCATTGTGTTGATATACAGTATACTGATAGGGAACAGAATAATTTCTTACACTTAGTTTTATCTAGTGCAGAGAAATATGGTGGAAGAGAAAGAGATGAGTTGTTACAGTGTGTAATAAAATTGGTTCAAGCCGGTGTAGATGTAAACCATCTGAATGAAGAGCAACAAACACCTATAGATGTAGCTGCTAGGCACGGGTTGTATAACATTTTTATATATCTGATAGATTATTGTGTTGGTATACAGTATACTGGTAGGGAACAGAATAATGCCTTACACTTAGTTTTATATAGTGCAAGGACATATGATGAAATAGAAGAAGATGGGTTGTTACAGTGTGTAATTAAATTGGTTCAAGCCGGTGTAGATGTTAACCATATGAATAGATATGAACTAACACCTATACATATAGCTGTTTTGAGAGGATTGTATAACAATGTTTTATATCTGATAGATCATTGTGTTGATATACAGTATACTAATAGGAAACAGAATAATTTCTTACACTTAGTTTTATCTAGTGCAGAGGAATATGGTGGAAGAGAAAGAGATGAGTTGTTACAGTGTGTAATAAAATTAGTTAAAGCTGGGGTAGATGTAAACCATCTGAATGAAGAGCAACAAACACCTATAGATGTAGCTGCTAGGCACGGGTTGTATAACATTTTTATATATCTGATAGATTATTGTGTTGGTATACAGTATACTGATAGGGTACAGAATAATGTCTTACACTTAGTTTTATATAGTGCAAGGACATATGATGAAATAGAAGAAGATGGGTTGTTACAGTATGTAATTAAATTAGTTAAAGCTGGGGTAGATGTAAACCATCTGAATGAAGAGCAACAAACACCTATAGATGTAGCTGCTATACACGGGTTGTATAACATTTTTATATATCTGATAGATTATTGTGTTGGTATACAGTATACTGATAGGGTACAGAATAATGTCTTACACTTAGTTTTATATAGTGCAAGGACATATGATGAAATAGAAGAAGATGGGTTGTTACAGTATGTAATTAAATTAGTTAAAGCCGGTGTAGATGTAAACCATCTGAATAGATATGAACAAACACCTTTACATATAGCTGTTGGGTGCAGATTGTATAACATTGTTTTATATCTGATAGATCATTGTGTTGATATACAGTATACTGATAGGGAACAGAATAATTTCTTACACTTAGTTTTATATAGTGCAGGGAGATATGGTGGAAGAGAAAAAGATGAAGTGTTACAGTGTGTAATAAAATTAGTTAAAGCTGGGGTAGATGTAAACCATCTGAATCAAGACCAACAAACACCTATATCTGTAGCTGCTAGGGAAGGATTGTATAACATTGTTTTATATCTGATAGATCATTGTGTTGGTATACAGTATACTGATAGGGAACAGAATAATTTCTTACACTTAGTTTTATATAGTGCAGGGAGATATGGTGAAATAGAAAGTGATGAGTTGTTACAGTGTGTAATTAAATTGGTTCAAGCCGGTGTAGATGTTAACCATCTGAATAGATATGAACAAACACCTATACATATAGCTGTTTGGAGAGGATTTTATAACATTGTTTTATATCTGATAGATCATTGTGTTGGTATACAGTATACTGATAGGGAACAGAATAATGTCTTACACTTAGTTTTATATTGTGCAGGGAGATATGGTGGAAGAGAAAAAGATGAAGTGTTACAGTGTGTAATTAAATTAGTTAAAGCTGGTGTAGATGTCAACCATCTGAATGAAGAACAACAAACACCTATATCTGTAGCTGCTAGGAAAGGATTGTATAACATTGTTTTATATCTGATAGATCATTGTGTTGGTATACAGTATACTGATAGGGAACAGAATAATTTCTTACACTTAGTTTTATCTAGTGCAGAGGAATATGGTGGAAGAGAAAGAGATGATGGGTTGTTACAGTGTGTAATTAAATTGGTTCAAGCCGGTGTAGATGTTAACCATATGAATGAAGACCAACAAACACCTATACATATAGCTGCTAGGAAAGGATTGTATAACAATGTTTTATATCTGATAGATCATTGTGTTGATATACAGTATACTGATAGGGAACAGAATAATTTCTTACACTTAGTTTTATATAGTGCAGGGAGATATGGTGGAAGAGAAAAAGATGAAGTGTTACAGTGTGTAATTAAATTAGTTAAAGCTGGTGTAGATGTCAACCATCTGAATGAAGAACAACAAACACCTATATTTATAGCTGCAACTAACGGATGGTATAATGTTGTAATGTATTTGTTAGGACATGGGGCACATGTACATTATATTGATGAATATGACCAGAATATTCTGCACCATGTATTGATTAGTATATACGATATCCGCGTAGACCAGTATTCAGACGAGGAAGAGGTAGACCCTATATTATATAATATGCACCGTATTAACGGGGAAGATGTAGACGAGTATACAGACGATTGTATTAAGGTTGTTAAAACTTTGATAAACATGGGAGTAGATGTAAACAAACCCGATAAAGATGGTAACACTCCACTGTTCATTATAACCCCCACCCCATTCCCGGAAAACCCATTAAAACATATATTGTTCAGATTACAATATAATTTGATTACTGCATTCTACAATGCTGGCTGTAATGTGAATCATCAAAATAAAAAAGGACAAACGCCATTAATGTACTGTACAAGAGGGCAAGCCGTTATCCGTATCTTAAAACTGATGATTCAACATTCTGATGTAAATCTGACAGATAATAATGGTGATACAGCGTGTAGTTATTGTGTTCAATATCACGTGTTAAATTCTACTAATATATTTAAACTTTATTCTCGCGATGTACTGATATCACCTAACAATGGAGTGAAATTATTTCACCAGATTCTTACTTGTAAGAGGTTGGGGCTGTTCAATTATTATATGAGATTACAGATGATTGTTAATGGTGTTACAACAGAAGGAGAAAATATGCTACATCTGTTAGCTAGAGTAAACTATGATTATTCTTTAGACAAGTTTAACTGGTTGTTTAATAAAAAGCTAGACATAAACCATCCATGTTCTAAAACCAATACACCTATTATGATAGCCGCCCTGTTATTGAATAGTAAATATTTAGAACTATTCACACGTCATCCTAGACTAGACATCAATGCACAGAATAAACAGGGTTGCACAGCACTTCATCTGTGTATCATTGGATTTACTATGGTTAAAGATGACTTGAATAACAGACAGAAAAATGACGTAGTTGAGGATTACTGTAGACAGATATATCCAATATACATGGAGTGTGTTGATATTTTACTGGCTGTTTGTATAAACGTAAATACTCAAGATGGAAGAGGTAGAACTGCTTTAATGATGGCGACAATGAAAAACGATAGATTTCTTATACGGAAATTACTTAATGCTGGTGCACTGGTTAATTACAGTGGAAAATCTGCTTTACATCATCTTGATATTTATGAGAGTGTGTTTGATCTAAGTTTTAAATTACTTGTATCTGCGGGAGATAATATGCTTCTCAATTTACCATGTATTAATGGTACCACACTGATCCAAGCGACCTTGTGTTTTCCACGTTGTTGGGATCCACTTACGGCTGTTAGTTTTATTAAATATTTAGTCGGTGAAAACTGCTGTCTCCAGTCTCTTGTTACATCTTCAGTTGAAAGTAGTTATAACCAGATTGATATGAGAGAACTTAGCAGTCAAGAGAGAGGTAAACTGAGAAAACTTTTATATCTTAGTGGAGCTCCTGAAAACCAAATAGTAGCAACTTTAAATTTTGAGAAGGAAGATACAAATATAGAGAGAGATGACATGAGAAGACTATTATGTCTTAGAGGGTCATCAGAAGAAGAAATAGTACAACAATTAAATTTCCAGGAAGAAGACAAAGATGATCGAGATGCTACATTCCACTCACGACACCGAGTGATATTCACTAAGTACTGTTGTAATATATCTCTCAAGTCTCAGTGTAGGAGAATCATCAGACAGAAGCTAGGATTGGGTATAAAGGAGAAGGTTATGGATCTAGAACTGCCTAGAGAATTAAACGACTTTCTCCTGTTAAAAGATGTTCTTCATCCTAAAGATTACAACATAGATAATATTGATGATGGTTGTAATGATTTTGATGATGATGATGGTTATGGTGGGTATGATAGAGCTAAAGATAGAGATGATGATTATAGTCGATATAACTACCAGTATTTTACCCTACCTACTGATCATGTGCTTAGACAAATGTGTATTCAAGCCCGGAAATATCCCAATGGCAGATACTGGTATGAAATTTAACGTGAAGATGTCGAGGTCATAATTATGTGTTTTTGTATATTTTATAAATATTTGCTTTCTGTTGACGTTATAGTTGTTACTGGAAGGTGATGATTATAGTCAGATTAATTAACTGTATTTATAACTTATATCTACTAGTAAAATCCATAATCCATAAAATAAATTGCACTGTGATTATCATTCAGTAAGGTATTCTGGGTGTATGTAGTTTAGCTTTAGTTTAGCTAATTTTAATATTCTTCAGAGTTTATGAATGGATATAAAGGAGAATTCAATGATTTCCTTCTATAAAGAATATAACATGTACTATATTAATTGATGATGATGATAATGATGATGATGATGATGATGATGATGATAAATATTATTTATAGCCCGTATTTATGGTGCATTAGCTTAAAATCGATGCTTTAGGCTAGCGTATTGGCAGCTCAATTAGATCGATATATAGATCATCATCATCATTATTATTTATAGCACTTATGTATTGTCCCTGTATATAAAATATATTCTGTCATGTTTATAAATATATATTGCTCTTGTAATTTTGTATATAAAATATATTCTGAAAACGTTTACACGACTTGTACTTTATTTGATCAATTTAATAAACAAGAGATACAGGGATTTTAATCACTTAGTGATAATATGATTTCCTACAGTATATGATCATACCTGTCAAGACAATAAAACCTCAGTGAAAGGCTGATTATGATTTAAACAAAAAAAGTTGTTGAAACATTTACGGTTACGACAAAAAATTTGTTTGTAAAACTGACAACTCCAATTTAACAAATCCGCACAAGCTCAAATCAGGCAATATATTCTACATTATTTAAAAAGCTATTACAAGTGTTTGACGACAGTTTCTTCATTTTCCCAAAAGATACTCAGCTTTGCCATTTTGGAACAAATCATGACAAGTACACCCATCAAGGAAGGAGTTGATGGGAGGCCGAATGGTTAACGCGTGCGCGTTGTTTCAAAAGCTCTGTGATTGAGTCAAGTGGCGTGGTGTCGATTCTCTGTACGTGGCAGCAAGGAGTTGGGTCGCCTGTCCAACTTCGTGGATATTTTTCGGGTCCTCTGGTTTCATCCCACTGATAAAGACCCCTACCCCCTACACGCAAGCGAATTATTGAAATATAATTGAACCATATGTTAGTCCCGAAATGGACTAGTTTGTGTCGAGTGGACGATAAATCCCTTCCCTTGTGAGCCCTACAGCAGTTCTTCTCCCCTTCCCTTGTGACGCCCAACATCGGTTTTCTTCCCTTCCCTTGTGAGCCCTACAGTGTGTTTTCCTCCTTTCTCTTGTGAGCTCTACGGCGGATTTGCCTCCCTTACCGTGTGAGTCCTACATCGATGTTTCTTCCCTTCTCTTCTGAGCCTTACAGCGGGTTATCCCCTTTCCTTGTGAGCCGTACAGCGGATGTTCCTACCTTACCCTATGATTTGGAAAATCCAGGTTCATCTCCATACACACAGCAATTCGGACAGAAGTGATGGGTGAAAGAGGAAGCAAAATGTTGACAATGTTAAAGGGCTGTGTGAAGTTAGCCCGATTTTCGTTTTTCGTTAATGGCGAATAACGAAAAACGAGCCACTCGTTTTTTTGATATTGGTGAATCATGAAAAACAAGTAGCTCATTTTTCGATATTCAGATTTCCAAAAAAAACAACAAAAAAAAACAGATTTCAGAGATTGATAGAACAACTAAGAAACACATTTGATTATATCAAATAATAAATCTAAAAATAATAAATAACAAAATCATGTATAAAGATGTCTGAGCAGTGGATTAACAGAGTGTCTCCAACACACATTTCATTCAATCAGATTTTGAAAACAAACTAAAGATACAATAAATGTGAATTCCTAATCAGTGGATTCACATAAAATGAGATTTAATCAAAATATTGAGTCCAAAAGTTTTGAGGTTTACAACACATAGTTTAACCCAGATCATTTTGGAAAGCCAAGTCTTAAGATTTGTAACCTGTGCCTATACCTGGGAGCGCTCCCCCTAACCTTCCCATATTTAATGGGAGTTAAAATTTAGTGTCCATCCACAATTTTCTTGCAAACTTTTCATACTGAACACTAAGAAACAGAATGCATGACTTAAGAGCATACAATGCTGTGCTAATGCTACTTAAGAACTTAATTAAAGATGGGTTCCCGCGTACAAACTTGGTGATTTAATGGTATATATGGACCAAAATCATATTCAAACTAATTAATTTGTCATAATTATGCTTCAAATCCTTCTCAAACATTATAATTGCGAAGGAATGCCCTGCTATTAAAATTCAATCAAACCAGGTCATGTTTACGTCACGTCTTGGGAGTCAGAGGAGAATTCATTGCATACATAAGAAGATGTTGTCTTTAATCGCTTACTATTTATTACAAATATCGAATCATAATTAAATTCTCGGATTAACTCTTCATAAAGTTTATCTACTTGTACACCAAGCGCTCAATGTTCGCTTGTGACCTTTGACATCACGCGTGCAGAAGTTCTTAATCGTCGGGCTGTTAATTAGGGGAACCCTTACATTTTTCTCCTGTATACGCTCCATGAATGTTTTCGGGGAATCCAGTATTTTTCTAGTAAGATTGGATCCATATATACCAAAATTACCATACTTTTATTGGAAATAACCACCCGATAAATACTTTTCTGGGAACCCATCTTTAATTAATTAAAACTAATTAGTGACCGTAATTAAAATTTAGAGTCCTTAACTGAAACAAAGCCTAAAAGCTAGCTAAGCAAGTCATGAAACCAAAAATATCAATTAAGAGCGAGAAAAGTTGAACAAACCTAGCTTATATAGGAGTGGTTCAAAGGTGACAAGGGTCAATGGTCAAATTTTTGGTCACATAATGACGTTTAAGTGGATTTGATTAAATTGTCTTGTCCGGGGTTATTTTTCTTTCTAACACCATTTCTATGAGTTACGGTGCACAAAATGACTGCTTAAGACAATAAAATGTTGTACTAATGTCTATTAAGAGCTTATTAAAGATACATTATGGGAGATTCGATAACGAGTTGGCAGTTCTCACAATAATGGTTAAAAACTAGATAATTGATCCACTATGAACTGAGAACTAAGCGTTTGAAATTTCCGCCTAGCTACGATCATCATTACTAAAGTCAGTACGATAAACAGCATAGTCTCGATTATCCATAAAATCGCTAAATCGTGAAGGAAAGTTATGCAGTAAATCGGCTCATAATCCAGTTGAGATCGTAGGCTAGCGATGCCATCTAGAGTTGATTATGGTCTGGATAGGTTAATTAATGTCTTATCAGGGGCGGATCCCCCCTCCCCCCGATCAACTACATAAATTGTTTTGTAAATCAACACTTTTTATGAGAAAGGTTTCTCGGCCGTGTGCTTTATCCTTTATCGTCAGATTTGGGACAGGATGGGCACTCAAAGCACGAGATAATGATATAGACATTATGTGATATCACAATCAATGCTTTGCATCCATGAAATTGAATCACAAAGTCATTGTATTAATTCATAATAAAATTGACGTCAAATGAGGTGTTGAATTTCTCTGTTTAAAAAGCTCAATGTGTATGTATATACGCCAAAATGACGATAGAGATCAAGCGGGAGGGGGGGGGGGAGATACATTGTCTCAGGAACATGACCCCCCCCCCCTTCAAAAATTCCTGGATCCGCCCCTGCTTATTAATAGTTTATATAACATTTCAGGCCTGAAGAAAGACCTGCAATAGACAGATTTAGCTCTTGCATAATGTATGTTTAATTAGCACAAATTTGTGATGATATTTAAAACTTAGAGGCCATAGCTGAAACAAAGCCTAAAAGCTGGCTAACCAAGTCAGGAAGCCAAAAATATCACTTAAGAGCGACAAAAGTTGAACGAACTTGGCTTAAGACTGGTGACAAAGGTCATATGTTGGGCCGCATTATGACCAATCAACCAATCAAATTGCTTATCTCTCCTGATCCTAAACATAATATGCTCATCTTTGAACTCCAAGTCATCACGGATGTCATGACAAGGACAGCTGTCTAGTCCTTCGGATGAGACGAAAAACCGAGGTCCCGTGTATATATTGGAATACACGTGAAAGATCACCTGGCAGTTGGAATTCGATATAAGAGTAGGCGATAGTGCCGCTGCCAAGGCAAAATTTCCCTCATAGCACACTATATGGCGTATGCCCATCTTCATTAGCCCAGTATAGGAGCAGAACATTAGGACTTTAAACCCCATTTCATTTCATTTCATTTCCATTAAGTCATTCACCTAATCAACACCTACACCAAGTTTAAACATTCTACCTCAATTAGAAGAGTTATCTTGTCCCTGATGGCGTGATGAACAGACAGACGAACGGGCCCATTTTAATAGTCCGCTGAAATCTTCAAAAGGCGGGTGACAATAATGTTGATGTCAGCAATAAGTATGCACTTGAAAGTATAACAAAGTTATCAGTATAACAAGGAATTTTAAATTGAAGGGGGCTAAACTTCCTTTTAGGCATTATCCTAATTAATGATTTAACCAGATGTGTAACCGATGATGAAAAATGAATTAGCTGGTCGTCATTTTCCTAGTAATGATGACGTCATGTCAGCTGTGCATGACATTTTTTAAGGGTGAAAACCATTGGACTTTGCACAGGTCTTTCAGTCTGCCCCGTAACTTGGGGGCTGTATTTGTAGGTCGTATTTTACAGAATGCTTGGGTTAATTTGAGGGCTCCATTTCATACTATGCTGGGTATAATTTGAGGGATGCTAGAGTTAATTTGCAGGCTGTATTTCAAAGAATGCTAGAGTTAGTCACGGGCTGTATTTCACAGAATTTTCTTGTTAATTGGGGGGTTGTATTTCACAGAATGCTGGGGTTAATTTAAGGGTTGTATTTCACAGAATGCTGGGGGTTAATTTAAGGGCTGTATTTGACAGAATGATGGGGGTTAATTTAAGCACTGTATTTCACAGAATACTGGGGTTTAATTTAGGGTTGTATTTCACAGAATGCTGGGGGATTAATGTAAGGGCTGTATTTCACAGAGTGCTGTGGATTAATTTAAAGGCTGTATTTCACATAATGATGGAGATCAATTTAAGAGCTGTATTTCACAGAATGCTGGAGGTTAATTTAAGGACTGTATTTCACAGAATGATTGGGGTCAATTTAAGGGCTGTATTTCACAGGATAAGAAGACAAAGAAAACAAACATACAAGATTTAGCAAAGATAAGAACATTTATTTCAGTTACAGGTTACACAGAGTTCACTGATTGGAGCATTTTATTTCAAACGAACCAATCACTGATAAAATTCAGGCTGTTTAAACTAGGATTATGGTACCAAGATCAGGCCTGTGACCTTCTAAAGGTGGGAAATTCTGTTAAAATATAAATTAGGTCAAATAAACCTTCGTCAATTTTAAAAAATATATAAAAAAATTAGGTTAGTTGAAGGCATTTATTTGTAGACAGATATTTTACTGATCTTCATAAAACCAAGAATATTTTCATTTTAAAATCATCTTCAATTAAAGGACAATAT